CCCCCCTTATACCCTTCCTCACTGCAATGGAGGTGTCAGCAACTAGGGGGAGTGGTGACCTCACTTCCTGTGTGGGGGCCTAGTGATTGCCTGGGGGAGGTCACATGCTCCTCCACACCCAGAAGCACTAGGTAATTTTGCCAGCTGTGTCACAGGGAGGAGCGGCTGGGGGGCTCTTTAAAGGAAAGTATAAGAGGTGTAGGGGGGACCTTTTGCAAAGAATAAACAAGGAGTTTATCTTAAGTTGTATTAAATTCTCAGCTGAATCAGGATCAAACTAATATACATTGCCCAGCAAAGCATCGCTTTCCTTTTTTGTCATATCACTTACAGTCATCGTGTTGCTAAACAGCTACTTCCAAGTCTCTCAGTTCTGCTTCCCTGAACTTCCTGTCCAGTACAAGATCACAAGGGACAGAGCAATCTCCAGCAACTGTTCATCTACTAACTTGGAGAAGGAAGGAGAGGGTGCCGGGGGGAGGGGAGTAGTTTGTTTTTCTGTGTATTAGTGGAGACGCACACAGCTTACTAGCACACACAAGGTTACTGCACTCTGCAGGAAACTAACACTTTCAAACATGAAGGAGCAGCATCCATTGGACGTGATTTAATCAGCATTGGAAATAGCTTAAAATCCTTTTGACTTTAATATCACTTTAAGGCCTTGTTCACACCAAGCGCGTTCCAGGAGCAGAGCAGTTACTGAACGGATCAAACTGCGTCCAATGTATTCCAATGGTATTTTGGGCTCTAGTTCACACCGCAGCGTTCAGTTCCAGAGCATGTAAAAGAAACTGCAGCATGCCCTATTTTACCTGCTCTGGAACGCATGCAAACACCCTGGAACGCACTGAAAGCCCATTCTTTACCAAAACCGGCCCGGGAACGCATCAAAAACGCGGCAAAAAAAAAGCAGTATAACACTCCACTGCGTGTGTAGAAGCTCATGCAGATCTGGTCTGCATTTGGTGTGAACAAGCCCTAAGCGTCAGGCTGAGGGTTGGATTTATGGCTTTTAGATTGTAAGCCCTCAGGTGCAGGGCCCTCCTCACCATCTTGTCTTGTATTGTGATTGTAATGTCTTTCTTATATTGTAAAGCTCTGCGCAAACTGGCGCTATATAAATCCTGTATAAGAATAAAAGTTAGACTCAAGCTGACAGATTTAAAGTAGGGATGCACCGATACCGGTATTTCGGTATCGAGTACGAGTAATGTTAAAAAAAATATTCGGTACTCGTCGATACTGAATACCAATACCGGAACTCCCATTAAGGAAGCCAGGCGGCATGTAATGACACACCACCCGGCTTCCTTATTAGCCGGGAATCAAAGCAGCGTGTAAAGACTCGCCACCCGGATTCCTGATTAGCAGGGAAGCCGTACCCATGCTTCTCGTCACTAGGGTGATGAGAAAGCATGGAACCGGCTTTCTGGCCAATCAAGAATCCAGGCGCCCTGTAATGACGTGCTGCCCGGCTTCCTGATACTGGAAGTATCGGGCTAGGCATCGGAGCATTTGGCCGAGTATGAGTACTCAAAATACTGGGCATCAGCACCGATACCAGTATCGGTGCATCCCTAATTTAAAGTGAACCTGCGTGTCACTTCAGGTCCTTCCTAAAGGCAGAACAACCTCCGTATGCCCTTCTACCCGAGTTTTACTTTGATGCTGGCAGGTGACTACTAGAGATGGGAAGGGCTGGGGGAAAAAGGTTTTTTTTTCCAAAGCCGTTTTTGTTTGTTTTTTTCCCGAAAAATTGAAATATAGAAAACAGAGTGTGGAGTATGTTCTTTTTTAATGATTAATAATATATCTTTGATATGGTATTCAAACTATACAACACGAAGACCTTAATGAAAGATTTCTGAGACTTTATGTAAAGTCTTAAATAATTGCACATTCTCTCAGCTGAAGACAAGCAAATCCTGGGATACAATCCAAGTAACACTGTACGTCTCAAATTGAAAAATAAACCTGCATTTCTGCCACTAGGGGCACTGCAGAGGAACGGCTCCAGTTTAGTTAGCTTGTGGGTTCTATCTAGTACTCCCTACAGTTGGGTGATTGTTTGTAGGATAGTAGATGATAGTTTCTGTCCTCTCAGGTAAGAGGGAACATTTGTCTGAGAAATCAGTTTATCTTCATAACCTTTAAAAGATTCCCTTCACATTTGCATCGTCTCCAAAATACGCCCCTTCCTCACCAATGAAACCTCAAAACTGCTCATCCACTCGCCTGTTATGTCTCGTCTTGACTATTGCAACTCCCTCCTCATTGGCTTACCTATACACAGGTTATCCCCCCTTCAGTCTATCATGAATGCAGCTGCTATACTCATTCACCTAACCAACCGCTCAGTGTCTGCCACCCCCCTGTCAATCCCTGCACTGGCTTCCATCCCCCGCCCCCCTCTGCCGATCCCTGCACTGGCTTCCAATGGCCCAAAGGATAAAATTCAAAAATATTAGCAACCACTTACAAAGCCATCCACAACTCTGGTCCTGGCTACATCTCAAACCTTGTCTCAAAGTATCACCCTAAACGTCCCCTCCGCTCTTCAAAAGACCTCCTGCTTTCCAGCTCCCTCGTCAACTCCTCCCATGCTCGCCTCCAGGACTCTAGAGTCTCTCCTATCCAATAGAACTCTCTACCCCAACCTGTC